GTTCAGAGATATTCTGATACAGGCATGCAATCACATCAGGGTAGATGGGGCATCCTCAAGACATTTTGTTAGTATTTTTTTATTTCTTTATTGTGCTATGTTCCAGAAGCAGGTCTCGAATCCTGGGTTCAAGCTATCCTCCTGCCTCTGCCTTCCTAAGAGCTGGGATTACAGGCATGAGCCACTGTGCCTAGCATCATGACATATTTTAAAAGGTTACTCTGGCATTCATGCTGAGGACGGGTTAGACAGGGAAGGGATAAAGACAGGGGCTATGGCAGCTTTTCAGGAGAGAGGTGGATTTAACAGATACTTAGGAGGAGAAAGCAACACTTTGACAATTAAAGAGCAGGGAGTGAACCAAGGAGCAGGCACTGAGTTCTGTTTGGAACACGTGCTCATTATTCATCCAGGGAAGATGCCCAGGAGGAAGCTGGAGCTCTATGCCTGAAGTTCTGGAGAGGGGAGAAATCTGAGAATATGGATACAGAAATTATCCAGGAACAGAAGGCATTTGAAGCCAAGAGAGTGGATGAGGGACCACCAGGAAAAGTCCTAAGTAGACAGATCCCCATTGTTAAAGGTTACCTTGCATGAAGGATGCCTATTGGGCTTTAAATGAATTTCATTTTTCTAGATTAGGGTCTATGGAAGCTTGAGATGTTTCAAGAGGTCTGGAGATCCCTGAAATTTTAATTAAAACTTTAAATGTTGTATTTTGATGGGATACAGACTATAGCTTTCACCAGATTCTTAAAGGGATCTGGGCCAAACACACACACACACACACACACACGCACACACACGCACACACACAAAAACCCAGGGTTGAAAAGGGTTAAAAGGGTTATGACCCTTTGTGTTTCACTAAGTATTTTTTGTGTCCTATAACACTTAATACTTGAATGGAATTAAAGAGAGGATTTGGTTCAAGCTTGAAAATAATCTTGATGTAACCATTTTGGTCTCACTGGATTTTTGTAAAAACAATCCAGGTTCTATCGGTGTTTGAGAGATAAGGGAAGGAGGAGAGAGAATATTATTGAGTTCAGGATTTGGTTAGAAATGTTTTGTATTTCTATTCCATTCAGAACAAATCCTCACAAAAGAATTCTGCATATTATATTTATTATGTTTGATCATATCACAAAAGTAGAGAATTGGAATTGTGTATATGGCTTTAAATGATTATCTTTGTCCTTCTGAGTGAGATATCTATTCCAGGAATTTCTGAAAGTCACCATCCATTCAGATCACTGTCCCACCACCAGGATTATGCACTCTCTCTGGTTTTGTTTCATATTTGGAACCTGAACTAAGTTTCTTACTTGACTATGATAGCATAGAACCAAGTCTTTCTTCATAATAACTGTCTCTATATGAGAGAGCTTTCATTGAAGGTTATACTCTCAGTAGAATCTAAGCACGGTATAAAAATTGCCAATTCTTTTGTGTATCAAAGAACACTATTAAAAAAGTGAATGACAACTCATGGAACAGGAGCAAATATTTTCAAATCACATGTCTGGGAATGAGCCAGTATCCTGAATGTATAAAGAACTCTTACAGCTCAACAATAAAAAGACAAATAATGCAACTAAAATAAGGGCAAAGGAGTTAAATAGACATTTCTCCAAAGAAGATATACAAATGAGCAATAAGCACATGAAAAGATGCTCAAAATCACTAATGATTAAGGAAATGCAAATCAAAACCACAATGAAATACCTCTTCACACCCCAGGATGACTAGAATTTTTTTGAAACAGAAAACCACAGTGTTGGCAAGGAATTCATACCTTCACACATGACTCATGGAAATGAAAAATGGTGCAACCACTATGGAAAACAGTTTGGCAGTTCCTCAAAAACTTAAAGAAACAGTTACCATATGACCCAGAAATTCTGTTTTTAGTTATATACCCAAGAGAATTAAAAACATGTTCACACAGCAAAACTGTACACAAATATTAACAGTGGCATTGTTTGTAACAGCCAAAAAACAGAGACAGCCCATGTGTCCACTAACTGACTGATAAATTTTAAAATGTGATATATCCATACAGGGGAATATTCAGCTGTAAAAAGGAATGAAGTATTGATACGTGCTATCACATAGTTGAACTTTGAAAACATGCTAAAAAAAAAAAAAAAACAGACAAAAAAAGCCACATATTGTATGATTCTATTTATATTAAATTTCCAAAATAGACAAACCCATAGAGAGAGAACATAGATTAGTGGTTGTCAGCAAATGGGGAGAAACAGGAAATGGGAGACGTGAGATTTCTTCTTGGGGTGATAGAAGGTTCTGGAATTAAATAGTGGTGCTGGTTGCACAGCACTGTGAATGTACTCAAAACCACTGGACTGTATACTTTTAAATGGTTAAAATGGTGAATTGTATGTCATATGAATTTTATCTCAATAAAAATGCAAACAAATTAACTTTAGCTCTACCCAAGAAAAAGACTATCATAGAATCCACAAAGTCTAAACAATTCTTTTGGCCTTGTCTTTGCAAAAGTCAAATACTTTCACATAGGATGAGAATTATATGTCATTTTGAGATCAGTAATATTTATTCTATGCCAGTGAAAAACTCAGGCACCATGAAAATCCCACTTAAGTAAATAACTAAAGAAGTAGAGGAAATACTCACATGCATTTGCTTTGTGAATATATTTATAAAATTTGGGAGAAAGAAAATGACAAGGCATTCTACTATAATAGAAGCATCTTAACATTTACAGGAGTATCCTCAAATTATCAAATTTAAAACTCTTTGAAAGTGCGGGTAGAAAATAAAATGGAACAAAAATCCAAACTGCCAACTCTCTTTTCCCTGCCTCTGTATCTTCTGGAAATGAAGCTAAGCTTTGGTCATGGAGGCACTTGGAAATCTTTTGAATGTCACTCTCTTTTGGACTGAAATTATGTACACTTCTGTTTGGAATACTGAACATAGCCAACTTCCACCATGCACGAGGTTCCTGTTTGACCCCCAAGAAGGCTGATTTTATTTATGTTTGTCTTCACATAAGAAAGCAGGGCCAGGAGCGGTGGCTCACACCTGTAATCCCAGCACTTTGGAAGGCTAAGGCAGGCGGATCACTTGAGGTCTGGAGTTCAAGACCAGCCTAGCCAACATGGCAAAACTTCATTTTTACTAAAAATACAAAAATGAGCCGAGCTTGATGGCGTGTGCCTGTAGTACCAGCTACTCGGAAGCCTGAGGCAAGGAGAATCGCTTGAACCCAGGAGGCAAAGGTTGTGGTAAGCCAAGATCATGCCATTGGACTCCAGCACTCTAGCCTGGGAGACAGAGGGAGACTTCATCTCAAAAAAAAATAATAATAATAAAAGGGCAGGGAAGGAGCCTGCCCAAGAGAAAGGAAGGCTCCAACTTTTTTAAGGGAGGTGGGTAATAGTGTTAAGTATTGTCATGAAAAATGTTCCTGACACAGCAAGATTGATAGCCATGATGGGGTTAAAAAATAGTTAGAGTTTTTTTCAAAGCAACTCTCAGTAGCCTTGTATATGGCCATCTCCCCTATTAACTCTTGAATGGCTCTGCTCCTCAACATCTGTCTGATTGTGGCCAAACCACAGAAGCTCTCCAAGTGACAGGCAGGACCAGCTACATAATTTGTAGGGTCCAATAAAAAATGAATGTCACACTCCTTGTTCAAAAATTATTCACGGTCACATATGGTGGCTCACACCTGTAACCCCAGCACTTTGAGAGTCCGTGGCGGGCAGGTCACCTGGTCAGGAGTTCAAGACCAACCTGGGCAACATGGCAAAACCCTGTCTCTACCAAAAAATACAAAAATTAGCTGGGCATGGTGGCAAATGCCTGTAGTCCTAGATATTTGGGAGGCTGAGGCATGACAATCCCTTGAGCCCAGGAGGCAGAGGTTGCAATAAGCTAAGATCTCACCATTGCTCTCCAGCCTGAGGGACAGAGTAAGACCTTGTCTAAAAAAAAAAAAAATTATTCATTGTTTCAAGAAGACAACACCAAAACAAATCTAGCAGCTGCAACGTGTCACATGCTCATAGTTTGCTGGAAAGAGTTCGATCAAACAAATCCTCCCAGCTCTGGCTCCCGACTCTACCACCTACTTACTGTGATAAGGGGCAAGTCATTTAACCTTTCAGAGCCTCACTTCCCTCACCTGAAATTTGAGGCTAAGGATCCCCATCTCTCTCATGGCTGCGAGAATTTATTTTTTGAAGTCTCAAGCTTGCGTGTGATCGTTTGTGTTTTTAATTTTTCTATGGAAAAGGAGGTGCCACACATCTAGCACAAGGTGTGAGTGTCAGGAAAGCCATTTGGTGAATTAAATATGGGTCCTGCAAAGCTCAAGGAAGGGGGCCGGAGGAGTTGCTCCTGCTCTCATCTTTAGCCTGATACTCTTTGCCTCGGTCTGTTTTTATTAGCTCGCCTCCTCAGTACATCAGTGGCAAGGGTGATGAAACTGGTGGCAGATTTAACTGCCAGGCAGCTGGGTCACTGTCCCGTGGGTCTTGTTGTCACGCTCCAATCTTAAAGTGACCATGCTGCTTGGGCCGCTGCCTTCCAGAAGGCTCAGAGAGAGACCACTGAATAGTTAATCGGTAGAAAAGGGAAGAAGGGGGCTGTTGCTTGCAGAAAATACAGAGAAGCTGCTTTGAAAAATCCCAAGGTGGCTGAATATCAAGAACGCGGTTCCTGCTGTGGGCAGCTGTATGTGCAGTGGGCAGCCCGAGGGCTTAAAATCAAATCTCCAGCACCGGTTGGCACCTCTCCCCATAGGGCTGTGGCAATGGGGACAGAAAGCTTAAACACTACAAGATGAAGAAACCCTCAGTGCTAGTGGCTGAGGGTCATCGTTTACCATTATCTTCTGTATTGTTAGCAGTAGCAGTGAATAATAATTTTTAAAGAAAAAGAGTGAGAAGGAGAGAGAAAACAGGATGACTTATTTAACAGGAAAAATCTGCAGGGCCCCTTACCTGAAACCGTCTCATGTCCCTTGGGTTTCCTGCTGTTTTCAAACAATTCTGATTGCACTTGAGGAAAAATTTTAAAAAGAATCTGTGAAGAGAAAACAATGCGTTACATTTTTCAGTAAACATCTTCTAAGGGAGACTATAGCTGCATTCGACTAGATTTGATTTGAAAGCGATTATATTTCAGATCTGGGGAATTTCAACCTGCCCTGTCTGTGAAGGGACATTGCTGACCCTCTGCAATTTGCAAATTTGGATGTTTTCAATCTCAAGCCCAGCGCCCCCTTCCCCATCACTGTGGGGGATTGTTAAGTGGTTCACAAGCTGGGCTTTGGTTTGTACATCGGCTCGCGGAGTTTCTAGAGCATTCGTTTTGGGGGGGGGGGAAGGCTTCAAATGCAGCAGTGACCCCTGCTGTACAGAAAATCTTGCTCCAGGGTTAAAAATGGTGGGACCTGGCCCAGAATCCCAAGGCATCTCATCTTTGTGGCCCTCCACTGGCCCCAGACACCATCATGCTCATACGTGAAGGTGGCCTGATACATTCAATGTTTACGAAATCAGAAAATGGTATGTTACTCTCCAAAGACAAAGTCTGTTGGTACGGGTATGCCAGGGTTTTTATGATTAATAAAAAGTGTGAATGTCCTCTCAGATCGTGTACAGATTATCCAGAGAAACACGAAAGCACAGAATAATGGTCTGAGGTTAGCATTTGTCAGATGTAGTTCTTGAAGCCAATATTTTCTCTTAAATGACCTATCTGTGCAATGTTAAAATTGGGCATCTTTCATCAGGCAACTAGGTTAACCAAGAAAAATGGCAGAGGTGGTCTTTCCAGCAACTCACCTAGTTAATGTTTGAAATTTGGTTTCAAAATACAATAAGTTTTTCATTTATTTCACTTGCAGAGTCCTTTTCCTTAAAAAAAAAAAAAAAATCCAGCTTTCGCAGTGTTAAAGTCCCAGGTGAGCTAGGCCTATTTCCCTTTCTGTTACTATGACAACGAAATTTTACCGCAGTCCCAAAGTCCCTTCAGAACTCTCACATCCATGCCTTGAATTAGAACTTTAAAGGAAAAGATATATATTTTTCCCAGGATTTACAAACAAAAATAAGTAGAAATCAACAATGTTTCCAGAAAATTCTATTCTAAAGCCACGGTTGGTGAAATGCTCTCATCACAATGTTCTAATTCTTGTTTTTTGTTTAACAATCGCACAAAAGAATTAGCTCTCCAATTAAATGTATTTATCACTTTAAAAAACTGATGAGGAGATAAACAGTAAATGATAAAGGAGGGAGAAGGGGAATTGGTTCTTCAGAGTATTTTCTGTATTCCAGCCTCTTTTACTCTGTTTGCTGGAAATATTTGGCCACATGCTCCCATGAATAAGGTTGAGTGTGAATTTGGAAGCAACAGCTAAATATTTTTTTCATGATTTTATAACATCTGCTTTTCCCTTCTCTCTTTCAATCTTTTATAGGGTGGGTGGGAGGTTGGGCTTTGCTTCCTGTGCCCGGGAGGTGTTGGGGTCTTTATGGAAGAGACCTGCGGAAGGACAAGGCAGAGAAAACGTTGTGCGAGGCTCTCCGACCACACTGTTCAAATTCACAACCTGCTGCTGCTCTCTGAAGGGCAGTGGCATCTCTGCCCAGGCCATCAGGGGGCGTTAGAAAGGAGAACTGCTTTTATTTAAGTAAAGATTCATCAGAATTCAAACATTTTATTTCCTGAAGGGTAAACATCCTCTCCATTTGAACACTGGTAGCAGAGTCAGCCGCGGAGGCTCACACTGCACGCTAAGGTTGCCTTTTCCCACCCGTGTGTGTTTCTAAACAACAGCCCCCACGGCCACACCACACTGGCCCTCAACCACTCCCAGTGGCAATTTGCAATTTACATTTTCCCCTACTAAACCCGAATAGAGTGCTTTTTCTCATTGACTCCTTGATTTCTGGAAAGTTTTGCCACAACTGGACTCATTGTAATGCGTTCTGTGTGTGTTAGACTACCTCCACTCCCTTCTCCGAAATGCATCTGGTGAAAACATTAATGTTCATGAAGGCATTATTATATGAATGGTGTGGTAGGTGGAAAAGTGCAAAACAGATAATTGTTTACATAAAATCAAATTGATTTAGGCAACCGTATAGCCTGCTGAAAGGCTTTATTCATTTTAAATTAGGACCCTTTACAGTGATTTGAATGGAAAACACCTAGTTTGACTCTTTGCTTGTCTGGGGCGCTGAGTTTGTAACCTACACAGCCCCCTGTACTCTAAGGACTTAGCATTGGGTTCATGAAGGACGAGGGGAGGTTAGTGGGAGGAGGAAAAGCGAAGGTGAGCGAGAGGAGAGAGAAAGAGGCAGAAAGTTCTCTTGCTACTTCTAAATGGCTTGCATCAGAAATTATGGCCTGGATTTTTTAATATATGGATCTACAAATTTATTAAAAGAAATTCTGGGGCTTATTGACATCTCCAATTTTTTTCTCTTCCTTTTACTGGTGTCTTCTGGTTCTCTGCCCTCCACCCTCTCCATCCATCATGCTCAAGGTCTTGAGACAAAACCTTCCCTAACTATACCATCCATTTAGCCACGGGGTAACTTCAGGGAACAAATTCTCACCAAATCCCCTGGGTTTAGATCCCTCGGAAAACAGAGCTGCCTGGAAAATGTCAGCACTCTCCACTAAGAAACGGGAAACCCAAATAAATTATGAGATTTAGACCAAATGTGCGGATTCTCATCAGGATGAATTCTATTTCCACTTTCTCCAAACAACGTTGACGATGTAAATATCATAACCATGGAGCATGCTACACACAACAAAGCTTCTGATCTCTCAAGAGCAAACACGAAAAACCGCAGGTTTATCCTTGTGTTATGGACAAAGAGGGTCGGGAGGTGGAGTCAACATGTGAACTCAGTCCTTCAGATGGCAGTCTGATCCTGAGGTCAGTGGGGCAGGAGAATGTAACTGCCCCATTGCTTTACTCCACAGATCTGTTGGAAATGCCCCAGGGGTTAACCTTGACCTGCAGCTACCAGCTGACCGCGGCACCAAGTTACCTCACATTCTTTATCTCTTAACAAAGGAGTTGAACAGGATCTCTAGGGTTCTTTCTAACATTGATATTTTATGACTGCAAAGAACAATATGCAGAGTTGAGAACCTTCCAGAAAGGGTTACTTTGGGGAAAGAAACCACTGAAAACAAAAGACAATGACTTATTGAAATCCGAGTGGGTATGGCAGAGGTGGGACTGAGGGTTTCTGAGAGGGAGGTCAAACCCACTGAGATAAAACTGTGAAAAAAATAAATGAGTGAGGACAGCTGATTGGTGGGAAATAGGACATCTGGGATGACGTCATGCTGAGTGGGCGGTGCCCTGAGGCTGATGGGCAGATTGTTGGGTGAGTTGCACTGTCCTGTTAGGACCTTTCTCTCTGCTTCTGAGGCAGGGAGGGTGCTTCAGGAATATCACACATCAGAGCCATGTGTGTCCCCTCTAACCATCTTGGACGTCCAGCAGCTGAAGGGTACAGGGTTCACGGAGCGGAGGGAAACACAGTTTGCTGAGTAGCCACTCTCTGCCTGATACACAACACCACATTTCGTTCTCACAACAACCCCATGACTGACAAATCATCCCACGGCTGGGAAAAACCAAGGCCTCAAGAATTTAAGAAATTTGCCAAAGATCACAAGCTTGTAAGTGGTGGACACAAGGACTGGAGCCTGGATCTTTGTGGCAACGAGTTCCATGTGACATTACATGTTTCCTGCACCAATGACACAGCTGCACAGCTCGGTAAATACAGAGAAACCACCCCATTACACACTTTGAATGGGTGCCTTTTATATTATGTAAGTTATATCTCAATAAATCTGTTTTTTAAAAATCACTTCAGAATGGTCTATAAAGGGCGTGCACGCACACACACACGTAACAGGAATAAATCATGAGAAAAAAAAAAGTGAAAGATTCTGACTTCTTGAAGAGACTGCCATGTTCCAAGTCGAAATCAGTAGGTCAAAGATAGACAAATGGAAACATGGAAATAAATGCTTCATATTGAAAGCTTCTGCTGAATTCATTTATTTATGCATTTGATCAATATATATTGTGCTCTGTGTGCAAAAAGGTTCAGGCACAGTGGCAAACAAAGTCCTTGGCCCCAAAGATCCCCCAACCAAACTATTCAAATATGTTTCTCCAGCTTCTGAGAAGAGCCTGAAGACCCCTTAATTTATTACTGGGTACCCTCCCCTCCAATCTCTAAAATACTGGAATATTCTGTACTATTCAGGATGCAGCAAAAGTGTCTAAGTGGCTTCCACATGTCTTCCCCCATCCCACCCATCTCAAACTAGATTCACAAATACAGTGCAGAGTTAAGGTTCAGTGGTGGGGGACATGAGGCCTGAAATCACAGGAAACGTAACTACTTAATATTCTTGCCAGACACTGGAATTCTCACCAATGGTCTGACTACCACAAAACCCAGCAGAATATTTCTCCAGGATTTATGGAAGAGGCCATTCAATTTACCTCCAAATTGGAATGTAAGATCTAGTCCCTCCTTAAAATGTTTAACACAAGAAAAGTCTATAAGGCCAGGTGCAGTGGCTCACCTCTGTAATCCCAGCATTTTGGGAGGGCAAGGCAGGTGGATCATGAGGTCAGGAGTTAGAGACCAGCCTGCCCAACATAGTGAAACCCCATTTCTATTAAAACTACAAAAAATTACCCGGGTGTGGTGGCGGGCACCTGTAATCCCAGCTACTCAGGAGGCTGAGCAGGAGAATCACTTGAACCCAGGAGGCAGAGGCTGCAGTAAGCCAAGATTGTGCCATTACACTCCAGCCTGGGTTCATCTCAAAACTAAAACAAACAAAAAAATTAGACAAGAATGCACATCAAAGGAATGTGAACTTAGCAGTAGTTAACAGCAACCATTATACAGAGTCTCACTGTATACCAAATAATATGCAAAATGCCTTTCACTTTGAAAACTTAGTTCCTTACTTCCCTAAAATGAATCTAATTCTGCCTACCCTGGAAACAACTTCTGCTAT